TAAGTATATATATATATATATATATATATATATATGTGTGTTGTGAGTTAGTGAGTTTTGAGACCCATGTGCGGGATCCTGAAACCACAGCTCTGAAAAGTCCATACTTCTATATTATAACCAGTGCTTGTAGGTTTAAATTCAACTGTTAAAATTTCTCTGCAGTTTATCATTTGTAAACACCTACATTTTACTGACGATGTTGACAGGCAAATAGTTTTAAAACGTTTATATAAACATCTTTATGTGTATACATTTATGTAGATTCGGTTCAAGCAACACATGAGCTAAAAATATTTACTTTTCTGAAAAAGAACATTGGTATATACGGGGAAACGTGCTACTGTTAACTTGCAATTGAAAGTATTTCAACATAATACATATGCGTAGATTTATTACGCCTTTCAGTTTATCAAACATTTGAAAATCAGATATCTTTTTAAATGATTTGAAAAAAAAAGTATTATGCACCTAATTAACGGACATGTAAAATTCTCAGCTACAGCTTAAAAGAAAGAGAATCTCATAGGTTAATTTAAGCAGATTTGCATTGGAACAACTTTTCGTGCATTTTTGTTATTATCATAAGTAGGTTTTGTGGAGATTTTAGTAACTTGATAGTTGAAATCATCAGATAATTGAAGCTAGACCACCATAGAAAACCTGGAAGCACTGGACGGCCGTTTCATCCTATTGTGGGACTCGTGGATGCGCACTGCTGAGGAGTCCCACAATAGGACGAAACGGTCGTCCTTGTATCTTTTAATTGGTTTTGCATTCAAGTAACAGTTGCTTTATTCAATACTTCCCTGTTATAAATTCATACTGAATTCAATAACCTTCAAACTGAACTAACTTAAATATAAATTAATCTTCATGTGGTCTCTCTCAAAAATTTTTATTTTCACAAGTCTTTGAATTATTAACACTAATATGTTGTCATATATTAGTCAATCTTATCTATTTAGTTTCCATAGATCTAACTTCGTGTTAGAAAAATTCTTCAAACTGTTCGTCATTTCTAACAGTAATCTATATCTTTGTATTCAATTTTCTTTTTTTTCACTTACAATTGTGTCTGGTTATCTTGGAAACAATGAAAGAGTAACAATCATGAGAAATAACACTAAATAAATGAATCAATCACGCAAAACATTATTTCCCACGAAATTACTTCTTTTTACCTATGCAATAATTATACATTTATTATTATTATTATTTTTAAGATTGTTTCATTTATATATAAAAAAGAAAATTTATAAACATTATTTTCATTGGGGGGAGGGGGGTTAGTAAATTTCTATAAATCATAGTATCCAATGGATGAAATAACATAGAATAACGCTACTATATGATAATAACAATATTATTTCGATAGATACTTAGTTGCTATGACGTAATAGTTTGAGTCAATATGTTTCTTTTTCTTTCAAAAGGATTTTTTAAGTAGTTTTTTCTTAGCATAGATTATCGTTTAGATTATTTCATAACTATCACGTATTGCAATGAATATTTGAATACTCAAGATATCGTTTACGGTTTAGTATTAGTTAATATGTGTATTATGATTTTCACACAGGTGTAAAAGATTTCACACTATATGGGTACTGTTTAGATTGTCATAGATTCATTTAGAAAATGTGTATAGTAAACTGAACTACATAAGCTGATCATGAGCTATTGTTTCAATGAACTAGGTGGATTTTTCACCGTATTCGACTGTTTAGAATACTGCAAATGTTATTGAATGATTCAATATTCTACGATTGAGTTCAATTTCAAGATTACAATCCAGAGTTAGTATTACGGCCAACAATTAGAATGTAGAGTTTCGAACTAAGGGTCAGTATTAAGATTTGGAATTTAGAGTCATATTTATGAATATGGTAATGATTTAGACTTCCATTTCAAAGTTAGTACGAAGGTCTGAGAGTCTATATTACTGTTAGTTTATATACACCTCAATTCTTAATCTTTGCTCCAACCTTACAAATAATCATCTAATAATAGTTAAGTTATTAAAACTAAAAATCCTCGGTACATAGAAAACATTCTGGTTATATGTATGAGTACATGTTCATCATTGGCTCACCTTTATAGTTAAGTATAATTAACATGTATGGTTGGTAATACATTATCAAGTGTTCAGTCATTTAATGCGTTTGGATAGTACTACATTCTTCTAAACTACTTGGTTTATAGAAGTGAACTGTTATACAAGTTGATAACAAAGCAGTGATCATACCTGAGACATCAAAGAATAGCACTTTTAATAGCAAAAGAACAACGTTGTAACACTGAAAAAAATCAGTCCAGTTCAGTTAAAAAAACATTTCTTTTCGTTTATATCATTGACTGAAACATTCTTTTAGAGATAATCTGACTTACGAAGAATTAATCTTTTACCTATACATTTTCCTTTTGACTCAAAACACTTACATAAGATGATTCTGTTTAGTGAAAACTAAAAAAAATGAGGGTCTACTGAACGTTTAAGGCAACAATCTTAAAATGCTTTTTTCTAAATAAATTATGCAATGTGTAGCCTCAGAACTGGTCTGTATTAGCATCCGAACTAGGGATATTGAATGAAGTTGATTAGACAGGGTGAGTTAGTGTATCACGAGATTTTGGCACAAATTTAGAAAACCTGACTGACTTTTCCCAGTTTGCATCACCTTTGGTATAAGTTAATTATCTGTCTGTCCACGAAAGTGAGGGTTTGCTGCATAGCAGTTTCCTCCATCCTACTCCATAAGTGCGAAACGTGGCCTTTAAAAATAGAGCATATTCGTAGGTTAATAGTATTCCATTATAGGTTTCTTTAAAGCATTGTTCGTTTGTTTAGGAACAATGTGAGTCGCAATTTTAAAGTTAAACTGAAAGTGCCGCAACATGTTTAACCATAGACTATCTCAAAGCACGGCGATGGTTGATGTAGGAGTGCTAGAGACTTGGAATGACATGGCTCTAAATCGTTCGTTGTGTCACAGACACATTCACTCCTTCCGCACTCATAGATCCTAATTTCCTGAGTTCTTGATAGATTTTATATTATTCCAATAATTTATCTTTTCCTCTTCAACTATCTCTTGGATGATAAATTTTTGTTACTATCATTTAATTGTTACTACCTCTACTGCTCAAAGATTTTGTCACTGTACTAATGGTATATAACAGTTTGAACCTGCATACTGATATTTCATGTTTTACGTTGCATCCAACTGAATAAATAACTAACTGATTCATAACGATATTTCAGCCTCATTTGTTAATATGTTCATTGGATATGATCGTAAAGAATTAGTGTCATCTTTAAAAAGAAAATTTCTTTGTCTAAATTATTTCTAATTTTTATTCATTAATCCTTTCATAAAAGATTATTGAAGGAAACATAATGATATTATGTTATGATGATATTATTATCCATCTCTGCTGACCATGCTTGCATAATGATATTAGTTACAATCTATTTATTTTATTTATTTAAACACATAAATATTGGTATAAAGAAAGACCAAATACATATGCACCGCACAAATCTCATTTGATTTGTATGAGGGCTGAGATACTGCCCAGGTGCCCAAACTGAAGCAGGTGATCTTAAGGGGCCACACTAGGAGCTTTCGACCTAAAGGTCTGATCCACAAGGCAGTGAAGCATCGTGAGGAGATACAGTCCCATGGTAGCCGGTGACCGACTATTGGTTCATACGCCATTTGTTCCCTCAGGGTACTGGAGCCCATGTGCACCATTGGACTTTCAGTGACAACCAAAGCGGTTAAAACGCCGGTCCTGGGTTCGAATCTCGCGAGGCGGGATCGTGGATGCGCACTACCTAGGAGTCCCACAATAGGACAAAAAGGCCGTTCAGTACTTCCAGGTTTTTTATGGTGGTTTACCTTCAATAGACTCATGATCTTAATTATATGAAATTGATATATATTTAGAAATCGAATATTTCATTATCTTCTGATGTAATCAATATTATCAATTTAGTCAACAAGGAATGATCCATAAAATGTGATCACTTTTGTAAATAACCTCTAATGATTCACATATTGTAATTTTGTTGAATTATTCTCCTTGAGGAATCAAATCTCGCCAAAATTATCTTCAAAGCTGACCGGAGATTAAAACAATCTAACAAGTTTTACAATAATAGTTCCATCAAATTAAATTATTAAAAGCCAATTATTATTTTCAATAATTAATCAATTAAATATGCACTGAAGTGAATTAACCTTTTTTATATATAACAAACACGTTTATTTATGCATGAAAACACTTGTCGTTCATAAATTCATTATAGCATAAATGTAATTAGACTTTAAATTGAATGTTTATATTATTCATTGGAATACCTTTCAAGGATGTCAATAGTAATAGAAAGAATTTGCGACGAAATAAGTAAATCAGGAAATAGTCAATGATATATTTGGGTTTTATTTGTTATACCATTCGAATCAATAGTGAAGAATATCAATTTCAAGTGTCGTTGTATCTAAGGGAATTTAGAATTCGCATGAATTTGCATACCCTTAAAATTGTAAAACAAAGTATGTTTCTTGTTTTCCAACCTTATTAGTATTATGCGAAACAAAGCATTGAAGTTAAATTAAATTAGATATAAGATAGGTATCACCTATGGCAATGAATGATGGTTGTTTTTAATATTATGAAAACAGTGAACTATTACATTTAAGCAATAAGAATTAAAAAGGTAACAAGCACTCCGCGTGACATTATGGTGTTTTTGTTCTATCCTTAGGCGAGTTGTGATCGCTCATTGCTGAAGAGTTATAAATAACAACTAAATATCTGTCAATTTTTTCCTTTTTTGATAGTTAAAGAGTTAGTTTCAGTTGCTGATCCAAATTGCAAAATGAATAATCTATGCAGGTCTTCTGTACTGAAGACTATTCCTGATGAAATAAGTCTTCCTCATCACACTATACACAGTTAATTGTTTCTTTTTTAATTTTTCATTGATTGTTTAGGTCCAGCAAAAATTATCCACCCTCCTCTTGAAACGAAGGCAATAGCCGGCGAATCAGTCTTATTTTTCTGTCAAGCTGAAGGTAATCCTCTTCCAAGAGTTGTCTTCCGCTGGAATGATAATGAAATCACTCAAAATCGACCAGGTTTGCAATTTAAAGAATTATCCGCAGATAGCGTTGCTCTACGTGCTAAGTTAGAGCCAAATCACAACGGTGATACTGTTACATGTTTTGCACAAAACCATGTTGGATCCGATTCAGCTACGGCACAAATTTCTGTATACAATGCTAATGAAAGTGAGTAGTACAATTATTTCTTCTTTTCCTAAACGATTTATAAAGTCTGTACTTCATTTTACACTGGTTTTTATGGTTAGTATTGAAGTTAGTTACTATTGCGTTTACAGATCAAACCATAAGCATCACTTACATATCATTATTATATCTTTATATCAGTGTATTGGTATTACATCGTTATTTACAGTATTACATCATAATAAGTGCTTGAGTTATCTTAACTACTTACTTACGATTGTTGCCCATCTTGGAGCATACGCTACAGAAACAGAAGTGTTTGAGTTATTTAGATGTAGATATTAAGAACCGACGTTTGATCACAGACTGCTTATATATGTACACTATGATCAAAATTTAGCCTTGAATGTTAGCAATCAACTCAAACTCTTGCTAATAGTCCAATAAAAATTGCGTCTGTTAAACCAGACACCGGTTATCTAAACTCACTAATCCATTCGATTGTCCTCGCCCGTGTTCTTGTTTACTACACACATACTGAAATCAACTTAGATTTATCTAACGAACTAAAAAGTCAAGTCATAGTTTGACAAGACTGCACATGTTTTCCAATTAACCGATAAAACAGGTATCAAAGAAATATTTCTCTACTCTATTCAAATTGTTGATCATCCTTCTGGGATTTCTAATAAAATATTTACGAATACAATCCCTTTTTTTCTTCAAAAAGGAAAAGATTACTGTTGTTTGTTCAGAAAATCAAAGTTGGTATTTGTTTACAGAGAATTAAAGAATAACTGATATTCGAGTCAATATTGTTATATGTTAATAATAATATAATATAATATATATAATATATGTTAATACAAACTATACTACTGTAAAACAAAACAAAAAAGAACCCGATTCATATTCAGAAATGATTAACTATTCATCTAAACTAATAAGTAGTATTAAATAATTCATGAAATTTTATTAATACAAATCTATTATAATAAATGAATTATAGATGTGTATCTATGTTGAAATCTAAGGGTACATAAAGAATAGAAGTAAACATTTTCAACGTTTATTATATTCAAAGATCTTATTTATTCATTGTATATTCTGTTTAATATTAAAATATATGACCAAAGGGAAAAGAAATATAATTATAATACAAGAGTAAATCAAAGCATACATGGTTATTTTCGTCATCATAGTTGAAGTAGCATTTTTAATAAATGAATTCAAGAGTCGATCCAAGCTTCAAGATGAATTTCTTAGAGTTCTAGTGAGAAGCCGTGACCAGTAAAGTCCTATCCGTGTCGAGTATGAGACAGTTATCCACCAAATACGGCGGAAGATCGTCATAAAATACGATGAATTGGTTGAAGTTAGACATTAACACTGTTGGATGCTGGTTCAGTTGTCTGGAGGTTGAGCGTTCACGTGATACTGAGGGTCCTGGGTGTGAATCCAGAGTACGGGATTGTGGGTGTGCACTGCTGAGAATCCCCGTACTAGGACGAAACGGCCGTTAAGTGATTCCAAGTTTTCATTCGTGGTCTAGCTTACATCGACTCGTGATCTCTGCGTATGTCAAATTTTATTATTGTTTTTTTTGAAAATTAGGATATTTTAAAGTTGATATTTAACAAGTTACACTGATATCCAAAACTTTAAAGTTGACTAGGTAGCCCTATGATTAAAATTTTTGACTGTTATTTATTAGGGACCATTCTCAACAGAGAGACACACACTTTTGTTCGATTAATCATATAAGGTAACAAACTTTTATTTCAAAAATTTGTTTAAGGATTAATTATGTGAGCTTTTACCTGATAAATGAGCTACATTAATGAATCTAAATAAACTGCAGCAGTATTCTCTGATATTAACTCATTTATTCATTCACTAAACTACTAAATTATTTCAGTCACAACTAATACAATTGGTGTTGTAGAATGAAATAAATTCCAGTCTAAACTGAAATAAATATCTCTATAACCATTAGACCTAATTAAGCTATCCAGATATGTCAATCCTTGGATTAGGCTATTCCGAAAATTAATTACTATTACTTATTTAAAATGAACTCCAAGATATTCATCATTCAGTGAAATATTCTATTTCTTTTTCTTGAGTCGTTCTGAAATCAAAATTTTTAATGTTAATCTTATTCAGTAAAGATTATTCAAATCGAGATCGTGGATACTTACTGCTTAGAAGTCCCATACCAAGACGATAAGACCATCCAGTGTTTCCAGGTTTTCAATGGTAGTTTAGCTTAGATCGACTCATGTATTCAACTATTAGAATAAATCTCTAGAACTTTATTTCCTTTAGTCGAATCTACTTAACAAACCATTTACATACATGAGAATCTTCATATTTTCAATTAATATTTTCATAATCATTTAGTGAATTTGTCAGATTTGGATAGAAAATGAAAGACAGGACAAAAAAAAGATATTTCATTTTCTAATTTTCATTTTTAAAAAAAGAAAAAATATATCAGACTGTAACAAATTGAATGATGAACAAATTTCTCAGATTTTTTTCACTTAATCCGTAAAACAAAACATAGTTTCTAAGATAAATTTTCACTTAAAAAAATAATAATCGTCATGCTATAATTTATTTTTGTATTGATTGTTTGAATCGTCACATTGATGCTTAAGATTGTAACTGATCAGTCTCTTAATGATAATATGTGCATCCTGTATGGATTGCCGCGATATTATCTTAAGTTGTGAGTCTTATAATCAGAGATGTATAGTGGTTAGCAGTGGAATCCAGGGCTGGCGTTTTGTCCTATTTGGGACTCGTTAACATTATGTACCTGGATTCCAGAGTTGATGTGGATAACGCGATGGCGATTGAAGCGAAGGACACTGGATTCAAGATCAAGACTGGACATCAACTTTGGGATCCAGGTACATCCTGCTGACTAATCTTAAATAAGACGAAATGCGCTTTCTGGATCCCATCAACAGACACCATCTATCTTTCACTTATAGGGGTTGTATTTTATTATTTTTTTCAATAATGAAAACTAAATTATTATTTTATATCACATTTGTCGAATTTGTGTGATTTATACAGTTCAATATGTGATAATTTCTCCTTTTAAATATTAGTAGTGAAGTAGAAACTTTTCGTATTTTGAGGTGACATTAGTCACAGAGTGACTTCAGTTATGATGTCAGTACAAAATTGAAAACAAATAATAACTACTTTATCCTAGTATGAGTCTCTTGTAGTTCTAAAACGATTTGATTGCTTGTAAACATTTAGTTAGTTTCACAATTTTGACCAAATTTCTGAAATTTTTTCAATCTTATAAAAGTCATTTCTTGATATGCTTGATGCTATTATGAGTTCACTTTACCCAATAAACGGGACGAAGGTCGATGACACAGTGAAACGATAGGCTATTCTAATCCATTTTCCCCAGCCAGAATTCTTGATGAGGCGTATAGGATGTATTCTACGAGCACCCAGAAAACACGAGGTCAATAAGCACACAAATCAAGCTTATTTATACAATGATAGAAACGCCTCTGGGAGAGCCACAAAATAGCGTACTAATAAAATCCGTTAACCAATGACAGTCAAGAGACTGATAGGTCCTGGGTTCGAATCTCGCGAGGCGGGATCGTGGATGAGCACTGCAGAGGAGTCCCACAATAGAACGAAACGGCCATCTCAGGTTTTCCATGGTGATCTAGATTCAATTGACTCATGAATTCAACAATATAAAATTTCTCTGAATAATCAATATTTTGAGAACAAAACTTTTTTTATTGCAGTTCTATTACTAAGATTTTTCAATGCTCATTATTAACATTTAAAGCATATTTAACATATTAAAACATGTTACCATTAGAAATAATTAATAATTCATTTTAAAAGCCCTTTATATGAATAAAAGTATAAAATGTTCCTTATAACTATCAGCTTTCTTGCTGACTTTAATAGTTTTTTCTTACATGAAACCTTAAGTATGTTCTATTGAGAAAATGATATTAATGGAAAAATTAAAAACACGAAGTTCAACGAAGGAATCTCTGTACAACGAATTTACTATCAAGTTGTACAATCGTATATATATGAAAAGTACTAATTCCGTGAGGAAATGTGAACATGAGTAACCAGGATGATGTAATGGAAAGATTATCATACTAGATTACGTAATACGAGTAATAACAATAAATTTAGTGTATATAATAAGACAATTAAAATGGATGAAATGTTTTTTGGTACCATAATTAAAGGTCATTAAAGGTCATAGAAGTGTAAAAATAAATGAGGTGATACGATGAGTATTTATCAATAAAATAATGAGAATATAAGACATAAGTAAAGGGGAATGCAGTAATAATGATATTAATAGGGCCATAGTAACGATAACGATAAGACGTACTTCTTTTGTACATTTAGTTCTGGTTTAAGCTCATGGATGGTACAGCTTGATAATAAATTCGTTGAAAAGCGATCCCTTTGTTGAACTTTGCGTTTTTAATTTTTAATGTTTAAATGAGAATTATCTGTCATTTAGTGGAAAAGATCTCTGAATGAAAACAATTGTTAATTATCAAATAATTTTCTTTTAATTTCATTAATATAATCAGTTATCTCTTGTTTAACTTCTCACGCAAATAAGAATGGTCATTATGTTTAATTTGATTTGACAATTTATAGACTATATTGGCAAATGCAGAGAACAGTATGGGAAACTTGTGTAAGTAGGCATAAATTAAATAGTGAAACGAACATACATTTTAGAAAAATGAATTTAATGGATAAAGGAAATGATCGAGAACAGTATGTATATGAATATTCACCATGTACCTAGAACCAGTAATGATTAACTTGATTTTTTTTCATAGATTAAATCACGCATTGATCTTAGTTAGATAATTATTGAAAACCAGTTACAATCGGACAGATCTTTCGTAATAGTATGAGAATTTGGAACGATACACTCTGATGGTGCAAACAGAAATTGAACCGAATATTTTTTACCTCAATGTGATCTCCTAATCTTAAAACCACTG